GGCATGAAACGAAACCGTAGCGGCGCTAGAAAGTAAATCTTGACTTGTATCGTGAAGGTGGTCCAATAATTGTTTAATTTCCACATATATACAGATGAGATTTTTGGCGCAAACATCAATACGATGGGCTTAAATCTAGACCTACCGAGAAATTCAATTCGTTATATATTTCCTGTTCAGTTTCGACATGGAAGCTTCTTCACTATTTGATTTTTTCTTTTTTCCGTTAATATGATTGGACATACACACCTATGAGGAAAATGACTGTCGTTACACATACTTCCGAAATTCATTGACTCATACTATAAGATGTTGCATTGAGATCTCACTAGGGAAACCTTAGAACAGAATATTACTATTTTCCTAAGGGATACTGGGCCTCTGACAATTTTGGTGATGGCATACCCTTCAATGGCGTATCCTTCGATGGAGAACACGAAGGCCTGAAGGGGCTATTTTCTAAGATCAATATTGATCAAGTTATAAGGGAAAATATGATTTACAAATTGTTTGAGGGTTTCACCCCTTGATTTGTTTTTCTTCCGTTAATTGGTGATTTGTGCCTCATCAATTCCGAGCATATACATCGGCAATTAAGTGACACAATAAATAAATCCGTTAATGGCGAACATATTCTTTCTGACTCAGCAAATCGAAATCAATCCAATACCAAGATCAACGCAAGTGCTGCACTATTTTCCCATTTGTAATGGGTGTAACTTTAGAACCAGAAAATGAAGATTTTTACACCATAGGAAACATGGAATATGATTTTTCACATGGAAGATTCATTCCTGATACACCTTCCCACATATACTTAATCACGCAATAAAATCCAAATTTGAACCGTATCGCATTTAGTTTATCTCGATAATGGAAAGAGGTAAGAAAGTTGCGTTCACTGTAAGCTACCATTGTCGATGGACAGCACCCTACTTTTTCAAGTGTATCTGTCCAACGATACAACGATTCCCATTCTCGGATTAGTTGTGCATGATCCAATAGGGTAGTTTATGCCGCCTATTTATTTCAAGGAGTATATTTATGTCATTCCATGGAGAAGCCTTTGAATAGCGAATTAATTCCTGAATGGAACTGTTCCCTCCATGAGTAAGGAAATGGAATTTCCCCATCATCATGTGGCTTCTTCATGTGTCTCATTCCCTCCCTCCAGTGTCTTGCCTTGAATTTATCTTGGGAAAGCACTCAACCGCATCTCAACACATGTATTTAAATTTAAATTTCCATCATCAGCACTAGCGGACAGAATGAAGTGTGTTTGTTACGTTCAGAACATAATTGTCTGTGGAAGATAGGAACATTACTTTAGAAGCAGAAATTTATCGAAAATCTTACCACTCGTATCCTTGATTCGGGAACCACGATATTGTGATCTGGATTTGCCATGAATCACACCCCAAGTGTTGGGTCCAACGATACCGTCAACAAGTAGACCGTGGCGACCTTGGAAGTTCATGACCGCTGCCTTGGTATGTGGACTGAAGATGCCATCTGCACTGACTCCAACAACTCGCTGAACTTCTTCAACACAGGGGCCTCTGGAACCCTCCTCCAACGTTTGGTTGCATAACGTTTTTGCTGGAGGTAAAGGTTTAGAAGGTGCAACAAGCAAATCGCATTGAACAAAATGAAATAATATGAAATAAAAAGACGAAACTATTGCTTTGAAAAGCCTTTTCCTTGCTTTAGTTCTTAAAAGCTGCACCAGACGAGCATTTTCATCGATTTTTCACCGTCTTCAATGATTTTATGCAGGAAATTGAATGTGGGGAAAACAGGGATTTGGAAAGTAGCCCTTTGTATAGCCCTCCATTTATGGTTTTTTTTTCTCCGAAACTGTTGCCGATACGGAGGTAAATAAGCTACCTAATTACATCCCTTGCATGGGAGGACCACACATTTAAAAAAAAATCGAATATGACCTGACATGAATATCATGAACCTGCCTGATTTGAAATAGAACCACCCAACCAGGTTCACATTGCGAACATTGTGTGGTCCATCGGCCATCGGGTTCACAAGTCCGAGTTTTTGTTCCACGCAACTTAAAATACAGATTACGTGCGTATACGACACGGGTTCTATTGACATGTTTTCAATTTTTGATGCATTCAGTACTTTTATGGGCGGCCACTGAAGAATTGTCTACAAGTTTGTCTCCAGAACCTATGAAATCGTTGCCTCAAACCTGTCAGGAGTTGCATTGGGTCTTTTGGCGAATATGTTCGCCAAAAGATTATTTTTAACGAGAGGTTAATGACATTTTGGCTCTCGTGATATTTGAATATAATTACATTTGATTGTGATTTATTTGAGATACTGATCAGAGCGCTGAAAGGCAGTTTTATAGATATGCCACCCTCCTATAGTTTTTCACTTTAAGGAAATGCGAATTTTCAGAACGTGGAATCTAGACAAGTAAAAAACAAAAAGGGATACAATACTCAAACCATTTTTCAATCCTTGGTTTCTCTCATACAGCACAATATACAGCTAATGGAAACGTTTAATTTCTCTTGCACCACAGCATGTATCACAAGTGCATTCAGAAATTCTACCAGAAATCCTTGACCGATACGTTTGTTCCTCCCATTCTTTGCTTATTTACGGCTATAAACAATTTCCTGAAACTTCCGCTTCGTCTGGAACGACGAAATAGCACCAGCAACAGCGATGAGTGCAGTTGCTCGATTTCAACTTGGGATAGCAAGGTAGCGATGGAGTAAGAATGATGTGCATGAGATGCGAATCGAATCCTCCAATCCCATGTCAGAGGCTCAGAGTTTCCCCAACGCTCTCTATCCGTGACACTGCGAGTCTAGCTCGGACTTCTGTTAAAGTTTTACATTTTCTCGATGACCGGAACAAAGGTATTCAAATCATTGGAAAAAAAAACAGGAAATTACCTCGACCCTTAACTAGGCATGGTAGGAAAGGCTGGGAGCCCATACATAGACCAATTTAAAGAATGCAATTGGGGAGGTCACCTTCGGATTCTGATGTTTGGAATCTAGTGATGACTGCAACACACTTCACTTCCTAGGCTTGATGTGCTTGAGATCTGAGTTCCTGGAACGCAGGCACTTACACCTGAGCGAGGAAGGCACACATGGCTGGGTGGGCATGGTGGCACACGTGATGCTGTTGGCACGATATGTTTGGTGACTGTCGGCGCGTTTTCAATACTCGTCTGGATCCAATCGACAAACCTGAAAGGATAGAATGAAGAATGCTGAAGTGCGTTTAAATCCTTAAGAAATGATGGGAAGGAAAGGCTAGGCTGAAGTTCTATTTTGCATTGAAGCTATCTTGCATACAAGGATTTCGGATGAAGGAGTCAATATAAAAAAATATGAAAGTTCTAGGGTTAGTTCCCATGATCAAAGAAATTACAGAAAACACGGAAAAAGGGAACCTATATGGGTTCTGCGGAGAAATACAATTTAAAGAATTTTCCCTACCAGAAACCCTTCCAATTACCACGAAAATCGGGCGGATGTGAGAGAGTCTACTTGTTCCGCAACAATGATGCAGCAGTTGCGGTACAAATTGTTTTAGTCGACTAAAAAAAAAGTGTATCCCGTTGGAATATAGAAAACATCATTTCTAACTTTATTTATCTACATCTCCTTATGAGAAACCCTTCCAACCCCAGTAACGAATGACATTGAAACAACGTGGATTCAAGGTTGAGTCAACACCCGAATCAACATTGAGTCAATGTCGGTTCAATGTTACATGCTACTAGAGAATTACCAAGAAAATCACGTCGCACGTGAGGGAGTCTTTTTATTATGCAACTATGGTGAGGCAATTGCGGCGCTTAAAATAATGCTAGAAAAAGTAATATTTCGATTGAATTTTGGAAATAATTTAAATATGAATTATTCAATGTTTCAATGTCAAAAACTTTGTCGAAATATAAGGAATTCACGAGACGGATGTGAAGGAGTAGGCTTGTTATGCAACGATGGTGCAACCCAAAGATTGCTCATCACGAGCACGACCTCATCATCCAATAGGATCATGCTTTCACTAAATCTTTCAATGTGTGGTGAATGATTGTAGGAGCTGGTTTCCAACATTGTCTTTTAATAACCATTGAGGGGATTCCATAATGAATAATGATTCATGGTGCCCATTTAATATTTTTCGTCATGATCAACTCATTCTTCATATTCTGAAGGATGAATATATTTATACTCAATTGCAATAAATGCTGAAGAAACATAAATGCATTGGTTTTAATCGGTTCTCCCAGGCAATTCTTGAAACCAAATTTTCTCTGGAGAACGGAGAGACTCCGAAACGGAGTCACTTCCTTTTCGCATTGTCAGGACCACATATCTTCTCAAGCAAGCGATGCGGAGGCGACAATACCGAAAAATGGCACCGATTCGTCAGTAGAGGATACTCTAGCAAATAAAGCATATTTCGAAAAAAAACGAAGGAAGGGTTCATGAATCCAGGGCTAGATGGCGAAATAGAGGCCGTTGGGACACATTTGAAGATAAGTAGAGTAGGGGGAAAGGAAAATGAGGAGGAATAGGAAATTATTTTGGAAAAGAAGGGAGTAGACTATTTTGCATAGATAGTGAGCTCGAAATGGAATTTTGAAAGCGTTTCACAAGAGGAAGCATCGCTCGCGGTCTTCGGAAAGGAATACATGGATGGTCGGGTCGTAAGCGAGAGGGTCAGTGATGGAACATTCATTTTACGCAGATGCTGCCGAATGGAAGCTCATTAATTTCATTTCTTCAGGAACCAATATACATCACTTTTGTGTTTGCTGGTACCTCTTTGGTCATGGGAGAAAACCTGAAAATTTTGCATTTTTATGTTGATTTCTTCACTCGAATTCATTGAATGCCAGATATCTTCAATTCAAGATAGAACTTGCAAGATAGCTTCGGCTTTGGGAAGGAGCTGCATTAACGAAAGGGAGGAAAAAGACGAAAGGATGAATTGCGAACTGACCGATTGACTTTGGTGAAAATGGTATATTGGCCTGGGCGCCTCATGGAGCAAGATTCCTTGATGAAAAAGTGACTCACGATTCCTTCAATCTGCCACTGCCTCAAGGCATGGGTATAGAAGACCATGGGGCTGCCTGAATCCCCAGGACAGGCAGCTTGGAAATCTATATGCCGAATTTAATCAATTTAATCGATATGGATGTCGTGAATTGATAACTTTTGACAAATTATTTTTTCTGATTCTCTTTCTATTGAGGACTGGAATCTCTGCTCCGAGATGACATCATGCTCAATATGCTCAACACTGTCGCTTAATGTTTTTAATGTACAAAGAGATTATAAAGGGACTTTCGCATATGAGCATATCTCAAATGAGAGGGTTTCAGAGCACTTTTGATTCCGTCCTGTCCGTCTGTTGGTCTGTGTGTCACACTCTGGTTGTCCGATTATAACTAAGAAATTAATCGCCTGAGCAAAGAGAAAATCGGCAAACTGATAGACATGAACAAGACACAGGTTCAGTTCGTTTCGTGGCGAATTTGCACAAAAATTCGCATTTTCATTGCAAATGTTGGATTTGAAATATAGTCATGGGAGGGGAAGACATGAGTACCCGTTTGTCTTTCGGAATCTTAACCACAATGAGAACGCGCGATGTGCTGAGGCCTTCGTCATGGCGTCACATCCCAAATAAATGCAATCAGTTCTCTAATAGTCTTCGTGGCGAATAGTTCCAACCACGCACGAAATTCCATTCTACCATCAACATTTCATACGCCCCAGAAATAGATTTGCCCAATCTAACTAGGAAATTGGATTTTTGATGATCGAGGACAAGGAGAAGACATTTTGTTCAAATAGTTGACAAATGAGAGCCTCCTTAAATGAAATGAGGCCCACTCCTGGGCTGGGCTTGCACATCTAGTTCTCTGTGAATTTTGCACGGAAGACAAGAGTTTAAGAGAACGTGGATGGCATTTCGAGGAGACCATGCGATCATGAGGTTTGAATTGACATCTAAAGAATGACACAACACCGAAACACCTTTTCAAGAACATACCCTGGAAAGAAGTATTTTTATGGTGTCCAGCACAGAAGGAGTTCCAGCTGAGGGTTTGCGAGGAATCAGGTCTACCTGTGAGGTGGATGGTATCCCTATGACAGATGGCATTCGATAAAACAGGAATTTCAATCTCCGTCAACACGCCACTCAGCTCATCCAAGACATTTTCGCCCCAACTAGCCACCTGTCATCAAATGACACAGATAACAAGAAACCCGCGCCATAGGGGAACATGCGGGGTGGAAGAGAAATATCTGACCGTTCCTCGAGTTCCATTCTCGAGGTTTGCCTCCGAGAGATGAATAAATTGATTTGTCGGGAGGCATATCAACTGAACTCTTTCGGTAAACTGTACCGGCTCGGTAAGTCGCAACAAGGCAATATCTGAGTCGAAGTTATATAAGTTGTACCCCTTATGAAAGATGATCGTAGACACCTGGGAAGAGACCATATCGAAACATTGCCGCACTGGACAATATCGGTGCGAAAACGATACAAGATATTGGAGACCTCTCTCTTTTGCACGAATCCATCATCCAGGGAGTCATTCCGATAGTATTTTCCCAGATAAACCAGGAAATCTTTCTGATCCCGAGATCGTGCGCCTGAGGCGAGGCAATGAGCGGCGGTCAGAACCCATTGTTCTCGAATGAGTGCCCCTCCACAAACGAGAAGCTTCTTCGTGACGTCATATATGGCAGCCACCCAAGGCCATTTTCCAATGGCGGATTCTTTTCCTCCTGCCGACAAACCATGTGGCACTCTTCCCCCACAAGCTATCTCCGGGATAGATCTGCTTCATAGTGATGTTCTGAATGGCAACGCATCTCTCTGTCAGAAAATAGCAAGGAATGGAAGCTGACCTGGCTCACAAAGAGTATTTCTTCCATTCCATCGTCCGTTCCCAATGCATGTCCGGCGTCGTGATCCTTTAAGACTATAATATTCGTTGCACGCGTATTCCACGATGCTTCCATAAACATACTCACCGTCTTGAAGGCATTCTGTTTGGTTTTCGTAAACCGTTCCGCATGGATTCCTATAATCTATTCTGGAAGAGATCGTAAAAAAGCATTCATTCATGATTCCGCAAATAGGGGAAAACAAATTGATTCATGGGGTATCCGACGATACTCGAAAGCTTCGGGAATATGCAACTCGACTTGAATACTTTGCCTAAAAGGTATCGGCTCCTTGTTCGATGTGCCCTTCAGAGGTTGAATCCATCTCGCTATATAGTTCCCCTGTTGTATCGAAGATACCACGGTGCTCATTTCCTACGAGATTTCGATCGTGATAGGAGGTGTGAGAATGAAACCTGAGCGCTCCCAGATATTGGATATGAAACAACCTTTTTCCTGTCGTCAGGAATCTCCATGAAAATCGTTCCACCGAACTAAGTGTCCGTGTTTAATTTAGAATAGGAATTCGTTCAGGTATGTTAAGGGTAGAATTAAGTCCCACCTTCATTGACTGATGATCGCTGAAGTCATTGACCAGAAAGCATGTTAGTTTAGCTTTCCAAATCCACGGGTCGACGCGAGAGTTGAACAGCACCGTGGACTCCTGGTTTTCCCATTTTCCGAGATGAATACTTGACTGAGTGAAAGACAAGCGGTGGTCATAATGACTAGGCACCATTCCAATGGGGAATTCTTCAAGAAACAATAAGGAGTGAATCTTTAAAACGTTTAACGTTTGTTTTGCTAATGTCAGGAGCGAAACGATTTTTTAACGTGTCGCACCTGACATTGTTGTTTTCTGTGCTCAAATCTTACTTCTCAGGAAACTAGGAGAATATGGAGTCTTGTTACGTAAAAGGCACATGTCTTGATCAGATGGTCGTCTTACTTTCGATGTGTCCGAATATAGGCTAGGAAATGCTTGAAAAACGTAGCTTCAGACATACAATCATGTGTCTATCTGCACGTGTAATTTCGGACACCGCCGAGCACATGTGCAAAAATGCAACATCATACATTTCTTCACGCACCTTTATTATGCGGCGTGCTTCCAAAGCAATGAAAATCACAGTAGGAGGATGGAATGCAAGGGATCATCGATCCGAGGCTGTTGAAAACTTTATGAGAGCTTTAATTCGAATGAGATATCTTGCGGTAAGCCAACATTTATTACGGAAGACCCGTCTGCTAAAAGAATGTGCCTATAGAAGTTGTATCTTCAAATTTGGAGTGGGGATGTGTCTCTGAGATTGGATTTTTTAAAATTAAGCATGCTGAGAAATACTGGTCTTTTGAGTGTAAGTAACTGTGCTGGCCTGTTCTGCTTGAAAAAAAAATTCCAAAGACATGACCCGAATGAAAAATGTACATCCAGTGAATTTACCAGCAGAGTTGGGTTTTTCCATAAATTAGTGACTGGAGATGGATCTACATACTAAATTCCAGGTTTCTATATCCGTCAGGGCCCAATTCAGTGTAGCAAAACATGTTAAAATAAACTAGTAAATAGCACGTGGAAAAGCACGGAAGAATTGAAAGGCAATGAATGCGAACATTGACATACGGGGTGCGGTCGCTAGTCTCCCACCCACTGGATCTGCCACAGGCAGGGCGTGTGAGAAGACAGTGCGCGGAAAAAAACGCCTCTTTCGAAGGGCTGATTCTGCACTTCGTTAATCGTCGTGGCAAAGGTCGGACGGGGAATTGACACCGAGCGGAGACGAAGGACAGCCTAAAAATCGTGAGGTCACATTTAACTGTCGCTTTGTAGGATAATACGGTGTGGCTTTTTATTGGCTGCCTCACGCTGTTCTGCGGACATCGCAACCCGCTGCGCACGTTTCCGAAGTTGGTGACCCTGGGGCCACGCTGCGTGAACATATTACTATGGCTATGGGATAGCACACGCGTGTTTCATGAGTATGTGCGCGCGCATTTCACCGACCCCCACCACCACGGACCACAGTAGATTTATTTATATAGATGGCTCCTCCCAAAATTACCCCCAGAAGATATATATCACAAAATAAGGATTTTCCCTTTCGACTGCATTCCAGCAGCAGTCTATTTAAGATGGTTTCAGCTTTTTGTCTCCATGATTCCCTGGAATGAAATAATTTTGGGGGGTGAGGCCCACCCCAAAAATTGTCCTTAGGGATCGCATCCCAAAAACAGATATTTTTCCTCCTGGAATCTGCATCTCAATAGGTATCAATGCACCTAAGTTCAGCCTCTCGGTCTCTCCGTTTCGTAGGAGCACAAGAAGTAATAGAGATTCTCGTACGTCTCTCCCAAAAAACTACCTAAAAATTATATCATCAGAGCTTTTCGAGTACCAAGTTCGATCTTTCTATCTCATCTTTCTAACCATTTTCTAGACTAAAACATAGTTACAATTACTGTAGAATCAGTCCCTTGGTCACACAATAACGATCGTAATACTAGAAAATAGGGAAAAAGAAGTAATAGTTTGAGAGAGGGTAATCATTCATTGGCACCATAATGAAGGACTTCAAGCCTTATTGAGACATTAAAACGGGAGTGTTCGAACTGTGAGGTGAAAGTGTCCGAACTCAATTTTCCCCGTATCTAAGTTCGGACTTCCTCATTACAGGCAATATCG